AACTTGTTGAGACTCTGATAAAAAAAAAAGATCATTTACAATTTCATCATTGGAGGTCCTTATCGTGTGATCAGTGTAAGAAGGTGCAAGAGCTATAGAGATAATACTTGCTGGATTTTTAAGCTGGGCACTTAAGTACACAAATGCTGCTGGCATTGAAGCTCTTTTTGATGAGTTAACAGTAAGATATTTGCTGTCAACATTGCCCTGGAAGAAATTGCCAGAAGGGTACCAAATCTATATCCATGATTTATTACATTCCACTTGGTTTAAAATTACTTTTATCCTTTAGAGAGTTGCAGAGAGATAAATGAGTTGTAAGCACCCAGTTAAGAGCATCTGTGTGTGGGTGACTCTTGGTGGCCTCATCACAGTCAAATTTTGCCACAGCTGGTAGTCACATTTGGATAATACTATATTATATGACTATACATGGGTAACTACTTCTCACACTCTATAACAGGTGTTATTAACATTAGTGAAGAACTCTCATATCATTCCAGATTCCCCCAGTTGTACCAATTTAATGTAATCAAATTCAATGCAGTTTAAAATCTTGCCCCATTTTCCGATATTAAAAAAAGCAGGAGGCAAGGGGGGGTGGGGAGAGAGAGAGAGACAGAGAGACAGAGAGAGAGAGAGAGAAAGAAAATAGTAAAAAGACCACACAGTAAGAAATGACTGCCTTAAGTTGAGTGCTCCATAGGGATCCATAGAAAGAAACTAAGAATAAAATTTACACATGACAAACATTTCTGCCTCTTTAAATCTACTGAAGTTAAGACTGCTGGTAGTAGACCTCATATTGTTAGTGTGCAGACTAAGGGGTACCCTAAGATGCCCAAACTTGTATGCTCTAAAAGAGTTCCGCCATCCACCACATAAAGACAAAACATACATTTAGTGTGGAAAAACTTTAAGTGAATAACGTGCATAGGGAGAGAAGAAAGAATAATAGTTTCCCAAGGAAATACCCAGAGTTGCCCATCATCTCATAGGTAAATGTCCAGCCAAACAGGGTTGGCCCGAAGTGGGACCTCTGAGGCCTGAAAACCTGCCGCAAGTCTAAGGTACCTTCTGGCAGGACCATAGGAAAGGGGCAGAAGGAGCCAGGAAAGTCTGGGATGAAAGGAGCAAAATCAAAGTACAAACCCATCCAAATAAAGGTTGCCATTTTCGGCCTTCCCATGTGTTTCCCACCCATATTTTCTTCCATGTCCTTCTCCAAGTCCCTGTACAATTTTCAAAGCAGAGAAGCAGACAGGCCTTCTTCATATGTCTTTGTTCCATGTACCTCCTCCTCTCTTCCAGGTTCCCTTGCAAGTCATCTCCCCACTCAGCAGCACCCTTTCTTTGAAGCAGGAAGTTACTAAGTCTGTTGCTTCACCTTAAGTGGGACAGGGAACCTGGAAACTCCCCTTTTTATGGAGAGTCAACTCTGTACAGTCTTTCTCTGTAAGAATATGATCTCCCTGGATAGTCTGTGTGATGTAATCTTTAAGATTTGCATTTTGTTTGCACTGTACTATTGTAGAAGTAGCAGGTAATTAAAATGCCAGTTAAGATTTCTAGAGTTCTTGCCATGCATCAGGCACTTTTCTAAGTATTTCATGTTATCCACCCCACTTGACAGATGAAGAAACCAAGACACGAAAGGCATGCCACTTGTCACAGATTACACATAACTTCAAGATTCAAGGCCAGAGCTAGGTGGTTTGGGTGGGAGCTTGTGTTCTGTGTGCTTCTGCACACTGCCTCCTAGAGGCCAACACTGGGTCTGCAGTGTTCCCCACCCCTCCCCCACCTAATTGAAAAAATGATGGAAAAGTTTGCCATAGTGCAGACTATGCAATTTTTAAAAAACAAAGTTGGCAAAGTTAAAAACACACTGTATGACCTTGTTATATGTCTGAATCATTAAGTTTAGGTTGATACAATGTTTATATTTTCAATATTATTACAAAGCCCCCATGGACAACCTTAGTAATGACTGCACAGTCTGTTAGGTGAATGCCTAATTTCTATTCTTTCACTATTTGGCTTGTTTCTACATATTTTTTAGAATTTCCCTTTCCATTTCCCCCCTCTTCATTTTTAATTAGGCTCTATCAGATATCTTCTGTGTATAGAGCTTTGTTTGCCTTTAAAATTACTTTTTAATGATAACATCCCAAGGGTGAAATTAAATTAGTGTATGTCATTTTGAACCTGTTGATAGATAATTTTGCTAAGTTGATTTTGCTAATGAGCTATGCTAGTTTATACATTATCACCAATGTATGAGACTACTCATTTCAGCAAATCCTTATAAACGCTGAGTTTCTCTTTTAAAAATCTAATTTAATGGGAAATTCAATCTCTTCGGTCAATTTTTATATTTCTTCTATACATAGACTACATAGTCTACACAGCACTGATCCATTCTATGGACTGTTCACCTAAAAATGTTTAAGAAAGTGAATTAGGTGGAAGTGGTGGTTGTACAATATTGTGAATATACTAAAGGCCACTGAGTTGCTCCTTTGTTTGGTTAATGGTTATGTGCATTTCACTTAGTAAAAAAGTATGTATATGTGAGTGTATGTACAGGTATGTCTGTGTATGTGTCATGTGTCTGTGTGTTTGGACTGAAGGTAAGCTCTCTGGCAGGGAGAGCTGCTGAGCCCTGCTTGGACAGTGAGCATCCACTTGACTGCAGTTTTCTGCAGAGTGATCTTAGAGCCTAGTTGAATGCGTAATGCATTTTGCCTTTCTTTCTGCTAGTAATTTTGCACCTTGTTGGTGAATTTGGGCCTACACTGGATTAAAAATGGTTTTAGGGATAGTGTTTGACCTGCTTTGGCGGGGGGCGGGGAGGGTGTTGGGAGGTGGGGGATAACCTGTTAGATGTTAAATTGCCAATTTTATGACTGCCTGAGAAACTGTCAAATAGCCTGTCCAGAAAAGGCAGGGTAAAGACCAACTCAGTTAAGAAATGGTGGAGATTGCTTGATATTACGGAGAATGCATCCTGGGGAAAGTGGTCAACAGTGCTAGACTGCAGCTAGGAAACCCTATAGCTAAAGTCTCATCATTAATGAAAGAAAGATTACTGGCCACAGCCGGGGATGTGTAAATTCCAGGCCACAGTAGAATCCAAGTGCACTTAGTGCTGCCCTTTTAGTACCTGTCTTTCTGCCCCCCCCAACAAGGTTTTTCCTTTTTAAAGTGGTCTGCTGATATTCTTTACATATTTATTAGTACTAAATCATGTTCACAATATGTATGAACTCAATTCAGACCACAAACCCTCTGCCTTCCACAGTTATTACAGATTTTATTCCATTTGCTTTTGAAAATGAGTATATTTGTTAAGAACTTTGATTTCTAAAATTTTGTGGTGTTGTACCTGATTAATCTTTTATTTCTTAAATTACTCTAATCTTACCCTTTCCCTGCCCAGTAATGATACTTAATATATTCAATTAAAACATTTTTTTGAAATGTGTAGTCTAAGTAAAAATCTAAATTGTTTCCAGATTACTTGTTTTCATGCTAACATTAAAATGTGAACATTAGGGTATTTATATTACATTTCAGATCCAATTTGGGTTTTGAAGTGTGATAAATTAAAATTTGATTGAAAAAGAAATGACACCTTTGTTATGTTTAGTCTTACTAACCAAAGACCTATTTTACATTTCTTTGTGTGATAATGTTTTTTTTCTTTACACTTAGGTTATACATATTCTTATTAGAGCTCTTTATAAATATTTTGCTTTCTTATTTCTGTGAAAGACTTTTCCATATATTTTAATCCATTATTAGTGCCTACAAAGAGTTATTGGATTTTATATATTTATCTCATCACTGGTCATTTCTTTACAATTTATAAATGTCATAGTTTCAGTTGATTTTCTTGGGTTTTCTATATATAATCACATTCCTGCAAAAAAATTTTCCCCAATACTTACAATCATTTGTTTCCGCCATCTTTGCCGGACCTAGAAAAATATCGAACGAAGTGTCTTATTCCCAGGGAGAAGAAATATTGCATTTTATTATTTTTTTGGTTTTTATTAAGATAACCATATGATTAAGGTAATCATTGGCCCTTATATATTATTTTGATTTTCCCTTTTGCTTGACCCAGCCATAAGGAAGATTATTATTACCTTTATTATACGCACTTATTGCCATTAGCAACAGGAGAGAGCTGCCTGCCATCCCCTGAGGTAAAGCAGTGTAATCTTGTGTCTGTGTAACTTAACCCTTAAGGGCAATGGAGGAAAAATACAACTGAGTTTTATATTTGGAGAGAGGTTTTAATTTTTAAATTATTTTTACTTCATTCAGAATGCCCCAATGTAAAGTTGAAGTAGCCTGAAATAGCCTTTTTTTTTATATTTATAATGTCACCTTAAAGTCTTTTATCCTTTCTGGGAGGAAGTCAAAATTGATTTTATAGTGAGGAAACCAAAATAAGAGTTTATTGAATTTCCTGTTTTTCTGAATTAAAGGCCACATTCTTCTCTGACGATAAGGCATCGTGAACTTAAAAATATGATGATGAAAAGAGAGAAATGTTGGGGAGAATATTGGGCCTAAGGGGAAAATATATTTATGTAGATATTGAAAAATATTTAGGGATAAATTTAAATATTTAAAATATTAAAATAAATGAAAAAAATATTTTATGTGTTTATGTAATTTCCATTTCCTCCCCTTTTGTCACCGGGGAGGGGACTAAATTTCCAATCATTGTCTTTATCCTTCATGTAATAATAGTAGCTGAAATTTCTTGAGCACTTAGCATGTGTCAGACACCGTTCCATGGGCTTTATCTGTATTGTTCTCCATAATCTGGGAGGAAGGAATTATTCCCTTTTATGTATGAGGAAAAATTGAATGCAGATAGATTAACTGAATTGCCCAAGGTTCATAGCTAATAGCAGTCAGAGCTGGGATTTAAATCTAGGCAGTCAGAATAATGAGTCTCTCATTTTTTGAAAATACTGTTTTATTAACACCACAGTGGTAAACAATTTTATGCTTATGTTTCTTTTATAGATCGCTGGGTCACACACAATTCAAAACCCACACAGAAGCTAAGAGTCTTACATTAAATGTGTCCTTCTTAAAAATCCTTAGCTGTATGCCAGTCTATCCTCAAGCAGTAAGATTTAATTATGCACCATTTTATATTTAATATGTCACATTTACATAGCAAAATAATGAAGGCACAGCTAATACAAGCAAACGTAAACCCTTTCTACTTCTGAGCTGGGGGTGGGGACACATTTGGATTGGTTCTTCAAGTATATATTTTTCCACACATATTAGCTTCAGTGAAGAGTTCTGATAATTTTCACAGCTACATTCTAAAAGCTACATGACAAAAAGACTTCACAAGGATCAAATGACATAACACTGGGTACACATGCTTTACAGAATTGTCTATGTTCTACATCTTCAAGTAAATTAATACTTCTAAAACACTAGATAAAGGAATTTAATACTTAAACATTTGGGATTTTTACATCTTTGTAAACAGACACCACCAAGAAAACACATAAACATGAAATTGTAAGGGATGAACACGTATGTCGACAGTATTATACAGGTCTACACCCTCCTTCTCAGAACCATGTTGTTTCTCTATGTTTAAATACTCAGTACGTTCTTCAGAATTAGAAGTGGCAGTTTCGCAGGCTTCATTAACAGTAATGTCACGATCTCCATCACAGGCTTCCTCGACTCCATCACTCTTCTCTGAAATGTAAAGCTAATGTCTGGGTTATAAAAGCAAAGTCTGAAAGATGAGACTGGTTGGGGGGGGAGGGCGGGGTTTGCCTTTTTTGCACTGGAAAATTTGAGGACTACAGAAATTGAAGAATTAAGCATTGAGAACATGTTCAGCCTTGGCCTGGGTGCGCCGTGTGTAGCGTGATGATAATGTGATGAATGGGATCAACGTGATAGTCTTGACACCCTTTCATACGTCTCAGTTCTCGTCCTCCCAAGAGAGAGATCATGAAAAAAATCATCAAAAATTTAACTCGTTTTTTTTTCCCCCCCCCAACAGCTTTTGGTATATTCATTGTGTCCAAAATGAAAATCAAATTTGAAATGGGCTGGCCGGGATCTGATTGCTTCAATTTAATCTATTTTTAGGAATGTCAGGATTGATTCACATTATATTTGGGTCCCAAACCTGAGCCTTTTAAAGTCCACCGATGTAATTTGTCTTAAAAAGTAGGGGGTTGGTTTTCGTCATCTTTCCCTCTTAAATCTCGGCCCCTGGTTTATTTCTTGGCGTCATCAGCTGCCGCAGAGTGGGGACCCTCGTCCTTGCCGGCGGCCCCCGCCGCGGCCGCCTCGTCGTCGTCCTCCTCCTCCTCCTCCTCCCCATCCTCCTCCTCGTACTCCTCCTCGTCGTCGTCCTCCTCCTCGCCCTCTAAGGTCCATGCACACCCCTCCATCTCACCGGTGAGCTCCTGGATCTTGGCGAGCAGGGGCTTATAGATGTCGTTATACTTTTTTTCCAGAGCCTGAAATTCCTTGTCAAATTTGGCTTCTATCTTATCGCACCGCTTCTGCAGCTTTTTGAGAGCCAGGACTCTGCATTTCACCGAATTAGGCAGGCTCTCGATAAAGTCATTTTTCGGCTTGGGGGCATTCTCTGCGGGGGCCTGGGGCTCCTCCGCCGTCTGACCGGTCGCGCTGTCAGAATCCCCGGCGGCGCTGTCAGAGTCTCCCCCCTCCGCACCGCCTTCCACCATTACCTCCTCCGCCGCCGCCGCTGCTGCCTCCGCCGCGGCCGCCGCCGCCTGCCCGGGCTCCGCAGGTGCCTGGTTTTCCGAGTCAGCCATGTTAGCAGGAAAAGCCGCAGAGGTCCAGGTAGCTGCCGCAGAGACCCGCACCCGAGCTGCACCAGCGCGGTCTGCGGATGCGGCAAGTGGCGGTGACGTCGGCCGCGGCAGTGACGTCGGCCGCGGCCCCGCCCTCTTAGCGGCCGCGCCGGACTGGCTGGCCGGAGTCAGCTGACCGTCGCGCCCTCGCACTGCGCCAGCTGCCTCCTGTTGCTACCTTGTCTTCTCCTGCCACTGCAGCAACGTCAACCCGTTTCCTAGATACCATCTCCCCAGGGGCTGTAGCACCCCCCGCCAGCCCCCCTCGTGATAGCGGTTTCCAAGGCACTGTTGCGCGGACTGCTTGGATGGCTTCCGCCTTTTTCATTTGCACCTCTGTCTCCCCAGGTCCTTACAGACATCTGTCGATACATCGATCTTAGTCTTTGTCTGCACCTCCCCGTAGCTGGCGGCGTCCTGCCGTGGTAGAGGGTTTCTGGCTACTTCCATGGAGTCTGCGTTCATCATCTCTTTTATTTGTACAACTGGGAGGCACAGGAGAGCTGACTCCATTCCACCCACTTTGGGTCCAGACTGCATGCGTGTGGACAGGGCAGCTTGCACACACAAGCTCCATACCTTCTGCCCAACAACCCCTAGGCCATGGCTGAGCCCAGCGCCGTGTATACGGTGTCAGGATCTTCACTCAGCATGGTGGGCCTCAGAGCAGTGTTGGGCCATTTGGATAGAGAATCTCAGGACCCTGGGGATGTGTTCTAGAAGGTTTCTTGGAACTCTTGGCTTGTGGGGAGGAATGAAGCCAGAGGAAAATCAAAGAGAAATAAAGCTGTCTGGTGCCCAAGGGCTAGAATCCATTCTAGCGTAGAGGAAGCATGTTTTTAGGACTGTTGTTCATTGGGGACACACAGACACATATGCATGCATACTTTGTCTCCAAGGTACTCCACAGGTCAGCATCTGCTCTGTGTTTTTTTTGCCTCTGAGTTGTATCAGAGAATGTTAAAAAAAATAATAATAAAAGCTCTTTTAACTAGCAAACCATAATTCTCTTAATAACATAGTAATTAAATCAAGAGATGCAAAATGATAGCTTCTTGAATAAGGATGAGGGCACATATTTTTGGTATGGAAGTGATCTGGTGTTTTTTCCAGAGTATTTTCAAATTCAGGATTACGGACTTAAATACTTCCCTTGCACTCTTTTGGGATTTGCTGAAACCTTTCCACCAACCATTTGATTGTTACTAAGTAGCGTCTCAGAGTACATTTGGTGTCTTCTGTTTCTTTTTTCTGTGAATATTACATAGTAATATGTTTAACACTTAGTGCTGGCGCATAGCAAGTGTTTTAATATGTTTTTTAACAAAATAATTGCATTTATTAACATGTAAAGATAACCTGCAGTAATATTCTGTCTTACAAAAGGACCTCATTGTCATCTTCTCCAAAGAAAGTAACCATTTATAAAAGGCTCAATGTATTTGCATTAGCAAACACCTTAGGATTTTGTTTTGTTTTTTAAATGTGTTTGTGATTCCTGTTGTCTATTTTACTTTCTTAATTTTATTCCAAATAGTTTACTTCCCTCTTTCCTGGTGCCATTTGTAATGGGTGAGTTTTATTGTAAAGGCTGAAGTTTTAATTTTAGCCCTGACTGAATTTGATATTATAATATATTTATATTTAGATGACAGGCTTATACATACCCAGTATCACCCATGCACTCCACATATCATATCTTGATGACTATAGCTGCCTTGCAGTTCGGAATGCTTTTTTCCAATTTAAAATAAGGAATTAGAACAATTAAGTGAAATAAATATTTTATTATATGTGTCATTGATTGGAAGAATCAAGGGCAGAAAAAAAATCTTCTTATACTTGTGGTATAAAAGTTTCAATGGACTTAAAGAAATAAAAAGCCTAAATTTTAACCAAATCTGTTTGGCCAAACTTGCTTGAGACAACCAGGATGTACTCATGTTTTAGGATTTTTATGTTCCCATCTTGAAACTTAAAATTTTTTTTAAAGATTTATTTATTTATACAAGAACTGGGGCACAGACCAGAGGAGCAGGAGCATGAGAGAATTCACCAGAGTCAGAGCAGGGAGCAGAACAAGCAGATGCACCAAAAATATTGCTGAGGGGAGCAGCAGGTGAGACAGGAGAGGTCTGCTGCGCCATGCGGGCATCTCCCCAGCCAACCGGAAATCAAACACATGCTGCAGAGGCTGTGGAAAGCTTCACAGCGCTGCGCTCAACCTGTTGCACCACCGGGGAGGCCCGAGACTTAATTTTAAACTAGGCTACCTTTTCCCCTAAAGTTTCCTATGTGTTTTTGTTAAAGATTTATTTATTTATGCATACAAGAGCTGGGGTACAGGCCGGAGATGCGGGGGGTGAGAAGATTCACCAGAGACAGAGTGGGGAGCAGAACAGGGAGACTAACTGAAATACATTGCTGAGGGGAGCAGCGGGCGAGAGAGGAGAGATCTGCTGCGCCATGTGGGTTTCTCTGTAGCTGGCCAGGGATCGAACTCGTGCTGCAGAGGCTACAGACTGCTTCATAGTGTGTGGCTTAACCGCTTGCGCCACCAGGGAGGCCTCCTAAAATGTTTTTGAAATAAACTTAAGTAAAATAAAATTTACTCTTTTTAAGGTACTTTGACAAATAAGTACAGTCATTTAAACAGCGTAGCAACCAAGATGTGTAGAACGTCATGCCCCAAAATTCCCTCATGATGCTTCCCTCACTGCCAGTTCTCGTGACCATGATCTATTTTCTGCAGATGACTGGAATCATATGTATATAGCCTTTTGAGTCTGAACTCCTTCACTCAGCATGTAGTACATTTGAGATTCATCCTTATATTTGTGTATATTAGTAGTTGGTTCTTTTTTATTATGGAGTAAAGTTCCCATTTGGGTTGTTTCCAATTTCTCAGATTATGAAAGATGCTGTGAAGAACATTCAGGTACAGGTTTCTGTATAGATACAAGTTTTATTTCTCTTGGTAAATACCTAGAAGTGGAATTGCTGGATCATATGGTAAATGTATGTTTAACTTTTTAAGAAATTTATACACTGTTTTCTAAAGTGACTGCACCATTTTGCTTTCACACCACGAAATATGAGAGTTGCAGTTGCTCTAGTTTTTTACTGTTATTTGGTGGTGGTGCTCATTTTTCCCCCATAATCTGACAGCTGTATGTGGTATCATTACTGATTACTTGAGGAAATAATATCTTCCACTGTGCCTGTGTGCCATTCACATACCTTTTTTGATAAAATATCTATTTAGATCTTTTGCCTATTTTCTAATTTGTTTTTCTTTATCACTAATTTTTAAGTGTTTTCATATATTCTGGACACAAATCCTTTTTGAGATGTTTTGCAAATATTTTCTTCTAGTCTGTGGCTTGTTCCATCACTACTTATTAAAAGGCCTATCCTTTGTCTGCCGAGTGAGTTGATCATATATAAGCATGACTATTTCCTGTTCTGTTGTATTGATTTGTGTATCTACACATAGTAGCCCTCTTGATAACTGTAACTTTATAATAGTAAGTGATGAAATTGGTAATATGAGTCCTCTAACTTTGTTCTTTTTCAAAATTGTTTGGCTCTTCTAGCTCCTTTGTTTTCTTATACAAATTTTAGATTCAGCGTGACAGGTGACAGTTGTTTTTTTTTAAAGACCTTTACTACAGTTTAAATTCAGACTCCTAAAAACCTTTGCAATACAGAGTACTTGTTCTTTATGTAAAAATTATTTTGACTCATTAAGAATTGTCTCATTTTTTGAGCTTTATGGACTTTGGTATATAATTGGGACTTCAGTAACATACAGTTGCTAATAGTGTAGCTGAGCTGTTGTGCTCTGAAGTCTTTATATTGGCACATTATAGTTTCTCAGTTCCTGAGGCCATGTTAGGGGGAAAGGATGTCCTGAGCTAATTCCATATAGGCTTTGTGGACTCCACCCCCACCGCAGACCAAAGCCATCAAGACATTGGGAAAGACAAATCCCATCATCACCAAAAGGGTTGCTGGGACCTGAGGGTGGAGTTAAGCAGCCAGGTTTGGTATAAAACCAGACACATGGGCCTTGGGGCCTCCTTGTTGGCCTCCTAGCTCTTGGCTCTTATTCAGCTCTCAGAGTGCCATTTGGGATTCCAGGTCGGCAGAACGGGTAGGATGCATTTAAGACTTTATCTCCCACTTTTCTCCCTGAGTTGTACATTTCCTCATTTCCCCTTCCCTTGTAAATAAACCTTTTATTAACCTTTTGTGTGTGCCTTCAGCAGAGTATTAATAAGTCCTTTTTAAGCACGCGGGTGAAGAGGCAAGTCAGGCAACCCGTTTTATATCGGGGCTGCCCTGTAACAGCCACAAGTCCAAAATCAAGTTGTGGACATGGTTGGTTCTTTATAAAGTATGACGGGAGAATAAGTTCCAGGTCTCTCTCTCCTTGGCTTCTAGATGGCCGACTCCTCCTGGGGGTTCTTTCCATTGTCTTCCCTCTATACACGTCTGTCTCAGTAATCAGATTGCTCTTTTTCATAAGGACAACAGTCATAGTGGATTAGAGTCCACCCTAATGCCCTCATTTTAATTGATTACCCCTGTAAAGATCATATCTCTGAATAAGGTCACCCTCTGAGGTAATGGAATGTTAGGATTTCAGAAAATGAATTTTAGGGGGATTCAAGGAAACCTGTAAGAGTTCACCCTTCAACCTGTAACACCCCCACAAATTCATGTCCTTCTAACCTACAAAATACATTTACCCCTTTCCAACATCTCCCAATGATTGACCGAGCCTCAACTCTAAGTCCAAATGCTTATCTGTGATGGTTTATTTTGTGTCGACATGAATAGGCCTTGGCGTGTCCAGATATTTAGTCAAAAGAAACCCTGGATATGTTTATGAGCACATTTCTGCATGAGATTAACATTTGCGTAAATGTTAACATTTGGGCACCCTGAGTAAAACAGGGTGCCCTTCCTTATGTGGGTTGTCCTTATCCACTCAGTTGAAAACTTATACAGAACCAGAAGACTGAACAAGAGGATCTCCTCT